GACAGATTGATGAGACCTGACAAAGACATGAAAATTATATAACTGGATTCGTCCGTTTCACCAACTGATCTAACTCTCAAAGACTTGAGGTGCTTCAGCTTTCCAATCCATTCTGCTATTAGTTCTTGCTTTATTTTGCCTAACTGGAATGCCAGACCCAATTTTCTGAGGCTGATCAACTTGTCCAACCCATCTTTCAAAGGACTGTCTTTATCAACAAAAACACCCCATAATGTCTGAAGATTCTTCAGGGAACTGCCACCTTGTTGATACACAAATTTACTTCGGCAACTCTGGTTTAAGTATAGGTGTTGAAGTTTCTGTAGTTTCCATATTGAACTAGGGAGAGCACGGACATTTGTATGCTTCACATCTAAGGTTTGGAGCTTTAGCAAATCGCCAATGAATGTTGGGATTGATTGAAGGTAAGTCCACCTCAAGCCTAGATACTTCAGGTTGCTTAGTTTCCCAATCGCCTTGGGGAATTCAGGTCTGAATACACGTTCAAGATCAAGAACCTGAAGTGGTCGGAAGCAACCATCTGCAATTACCTTATGGAGAAAGTTGCCTATTTCTTCGCCAGGTTTATTTCCTTCTCGAGTGTCAAAGGAGAGAATAGAAAGAAGAGGGCTTGCAACTTTTGATAAGCTCTCGCCGACAGTAATTGGAAGATCATTTCTTTTAAAACGAAGAGCAACTCTATGATTTGAACTTGTAGCCTCCAAGCTGCAGACAGGTAGAGAATAGGGTAATCTACACGTCTTGACTTCCCCATTAAGCTTTCGTTCAACAATTTGAATCATGCCCAAACCAATCAACTGCGATAGATAATTTCCTGCAACATCTTCAGAAGTTATTGTATTATTACCATGCACTTGTACCAAACCTTCTGCCATCCACAAAGCAATTAGTCTCCTTGCGGGAATTTCAAAGTCCAACGGGAAGAGCTTTAAGTAAGAAAGGCACTTAGACAGATGTTCAGGAAGCAAGTGTTTTATGGAATCTATGGTGTATGTTTGTAACGATGGTGGATCATTCTCTATGATCTCTTCAAGCACCTCTTCTAACTCCTCTACAGCAGTCACATCTTCCCCAGACATTAGATATCCAACACGTAAGATGGCTAGTGGGAAACCCCCACATTTACCTAAAATTTCTTTTGCCAGCATTTCCTCTTTTGGAGAAAAGTGCACCATCTGGGTAAACAATTTCCAGCTCTCTTCTTTGGTTCGCAGTCGAAGTTGGTGAGGAGTATTGTTAAACTTTTTAGCTAAATCGCTATGCCGTGTAGTGAACAGAATTCTGCTTCCGCTTGATGTTACTGGAATGAATCCTGCTCTAAGAGTATTCAACTCATCTACCGTGGAGATGTTGTCTAGGACTAAAAGGTACCGCTCCTCATCTACAAGATCATGTACCTCTTGGACCCAAGGCACATTGGACTTCCAGGGTAGAGATATCCATACACGGCGAGTAAAGTGGCGCGAAACAGCTCCATGATCAAAAATTTTGTTAGCTAATGTTGTCTTACCCATGCCCTCAATGCCCAAAATGGAAATAACAGAGTGTTGTTCACTGTTGGTTGTCAGTTGTGACACCAATGCTTGGATGTCTTCCTCCAAACCGACCACTGAGCTTGACTCTTCCCTCAATTCAATGCCGTATGCTTTTATGCTTCTCACAACAAGACTGATAGTATGCTGGATTCTGTCAATTTCATGGCAAAGCTTTATCCCAGATCTTGTTTTAAATAGATGGTTTGATCTCCTTATAATACATGAGTCGTCTATGAAGGCTTGCACACATTTATCAGCACTTTGAACAATAATCTTCATTTGCTTCAACCAAGCCACTCTGGAGTTAAATCGGCTTCCAACCATTCCTGCATCGTCTACAAGTTTATACATGCCTTTCAGCTGATTGCATAGCGATGTGACTTCATAAAATACTTCACCCAATGCATCTGACTTGTGATTGAGGTAGCTGTACATCCTGTCGACTAAAGATGTAATAATCTTGTCATCACTGGAATTGTGATGTGGGGATTGATAGACAAACTTGGACGAATCTCTTCTTATAAATTCGAAGCCATATCTTTCCTTCCTCTTTAAAAGTTCTGCAAATCCAGTGCCAATGCACCTCAAGTCCCCCTCGAGCTTTCTTCTTGCCTTCCAACTACTGATTCGGTTTGCAGGCCTCTGTGAGAAGTTGTTGATGGCAAGATCTGCTTCTTGAATAACCTCTTCCACTTCCTTCACCCATGCCTCCTCGATTTCACTTTCAAAAGGAAGTCCTTCTATTTCTTTCAGAAAGGGATGCAGAAGTAGCAATTGCAGTTTTATTGAGTCTATTTGCTCTCCAATACTCTTACGCAGTAATACTGGGTTTTGGGCGAGGCGGTTTATTGTGTCAACAATAGAGGAAGTCAAAGCAGCTACAGAGGCAATTCGTCCTTTGAAATCAACCCGTTGTTCTTGTTCGTGCTCATAAATCGGTCTTTCCAGCAGGCTTCTAATAATAGACCTTGATCTCTCCAGCGATTCACATATGTTAATCCTGTTGTGAAAAAATGGACAAACACTTTCACTCACTCCCCTAATGATCTTGTTGTTGATGGACTTTGTGACACACACAATGATGGATGAATCACACACACACACTTGAGACAACAACCAAGCACAAAGTGACACAAGAATTTATAGAGGTTCAGCAATTGCCTACATCCTCTTGGTGATCCCCTTGAGAAATTCACTTCATGTTTGCTTTTCGAACCACTGATATGGTTTTGGTCAACCATGCTACCTCAGACTGATCCAATCCTTCTATAGGTACTCCACCAGAGTAAATCCTGGGATCCAAGATTTGTTGTTGTATTGCACCTATATGATCCCTTAAATGCATAACTTTCGCTGCATCCTCTGCAATAGTATCCAGGAGCCTCGATTCTCTTCGAATCCACTTGATGTCTTCCTCTAAGAACATAAACGGCACATGCTTGATGTAGAAGTAGAGAAGCAAAGGGGTAAGAGAGACGAAGAAGAGCACTTGATACATTGATATATGATTTACATAACGGCAAAGAAGGAACACAACAAATATGACAAAAAACCGAGCGTTTTTTAGAATGGAATCAATGAATGCAGAGGACTTGGTTACGCTCTCCTTCTTGTATGCCAAACTAGCCATAGACAAAATAATAGCAATATATCGATCATCATCAGAAGGTGGAGCTTCAGTGTTCTTCCATTCCATATCTGTAGTAAGTTGGGCACCAGCTGCTTCTGCATGGTTTCTCTCCATGATCACTTCCCTGCCTGCTTGTCTTATCAGTTTCGATTGAAGAAAACAAATTCCCCAATTTGCAGTGGGTTCAATTCAAACTTTGTAGAAGTTGGAAAAGTGGTGTTCGTGGATTCAACCATATTTTGGACTGAAGTGGCGTGGAGCTTTGAGAGAAGTAAAATGAAGTATAGGGAAATTATATTTGAAGTGAAACCAAAACTCAAGTGTAAGCTAACCAAGATCCAATTTGAAAGGCACCCGAAACTTTCGTAGTGTGAAATGTAATTAACTAAAAACTAAAGTCATTGAAGAATTAATAATTTATTACAGAAGAAGTCATTTTATAATGTAGTAATCTGGAAGCTGTTGCAAACACCTTCGGCAGTATGCATGCATGTGCTTTGCTTTGTAAAGTGTAAACATTGTTTTCTCGTAAAAATTTGCAAACTCGATTTGACCAATTGGTCAAGTAAGGCCAGCTCCAATGCGAGTGGGCTAAACCCAAAATTTGGATTTTTTGCCTGAAGTGTATCTTCAACCTTGTATACGGGCTTAGGCAAAAGCCCAGGCACTATTCCGCCCTGAAGGTCATCATCAGAATCACTATCAAATAAATTTTATATAGCATTCCCACGTGAATTCATTGTAAGAAGAAGAATGAGATTGAAGGAGATTGTGTGTTTGATTGGGTACAATAACTCTTCTTATATAGGCAAAAGGATGGGGTTTGAAAGGAGGATGGGGTTTGAAATGAAGGTGAGGTTTGAAAGGGAGATGGGGTTTGAAAGGAAGGTGAAGTTTGAAATGAAGGTGAGGTTTGAAAGGAGTTTTTAGGTGAAATTATTAAATATTTTGGATTTTGGATTTTGGATTTTTTTAGATCAAAATGTTCAGAAAATTAAATCACGAATGTTGAAACAAAAATAATATCAACAAAAATTAATGAAAAAAAATTATAGAGATTAATCATTCTTAAACAATTTAATAAAATTGAGGACTTAAATTATGAGTCTGCATGGTTTGAGGAAAAAACAATTTGAATCCGAGAAATACATGAATATTTGTATTTTGAAAGGCAAAAATTTGAGTTTTGCCCCAACATGACTGGAGATGGCCTAATGCTAGCTAATGATGGTTTAGAATTGGCTTATTTGTGGATGACTGGTCTGGCTGGAACTTTCCGAGAAACGACGTTTTGATTTTATATTTCGTAAATTGGGCTGTAATCAATATGCCTGACTTCGGACCATTATCCTTTGTTCATCTTTTCTTTTACAAGAATCTTATACCATAAATGAAGTAGAGCAGGTAAGTTATTCCCAAGAATGTGAACGTCAATGTGAAGGTTAAGATCAGAACACTTTACCAATCTTTGTATGCTTATCAAAAAGAAAAGAAAAAGAATGAACAAGGTCTCATGTCATATGTTTGTGTCAATCTAACTTCACATGAGCATAGATGGTTTTTTATTTATTTTAAAGTTAGTACATCCATGATATGATTGAGATTACAAGGATAAAGTTCAAATGTACCTGTAAACATGAATTTTCTGTGACGAACAAAATAAAAATACCAAAAATTTCACGAATTACCTATAAACACGTATTTTTATTATATCAGCAAAAATTTCAGTGTCTATGATACCAAATCAAAACAAAGTTAGTCAAATTAAAGTTAGTAACCAACTGAACTTACTACAAGGGAAGTGTATCTAACAATGAGTCGAGGCAAACACCAGAGGAGTCACACTAAGTTATTAATTGTTCTTCTCAAAACAAGAAAAGGAACTAAAGGAATTAAACACATAATTTCAAAAGTTCAGTGTGAATTGTGTCCTATCCGCATTTTTTTTTTACTCCACAATCAGTTTTACCCTTGCATGGCCCTCTGAAATTTGGAACTGTTCAGTTAAACCCAGATGTGCCATAAGAAGCCAGACATGGGTGAGCAGCTCTCCTCCTCGCCTGAGCTGCTGAGCATGACCACTCCATCGACATTGATTGGCAGCGTAAGAGAGCATTTCCACCCACACATGACTTACAAACTCCCACTTTCTCTCATTACTCCACCCTCTATCTGATTCCAGGGACTGCAAAGCTTTAGCAAGCCTGCATGCATCAAATAGAACTGACTTGCTTCTATCTCCTTTCACTTTAGATGGAAGGATCTCTGTGCACACATCCAGTAGCTTTGTGCATGCTTTCCGTTCACCCGATTTCATTATTTTCTTTTCCTTGAAAAATTCTTCAGCCTCAGCACATGTGTCTCTAAACCTTATCTGTCCAATCCCGTTTGGTAGCATGAAGGGGCACATGACTAAAAGATACATCATGTAGTTCGATAACAGCTTACTGTCTTCACAATTTACACTAGGAACCGAGTTTCGATTCACATCGGAATAATAACATAGATCTGTTGCAATATGCCAGAGAAGGATGCTTTGATCAAACTCAACCTCATTGATGGTCCAGCCAAGTTCCTTTAGACAATGTGCTTTTTGAAGCACCTGGTCACCCCTTCGAGCACACACTTGTTTTCGTTTGCTAGCCTCAACATTAGAACCAATCCTTGATTTCTCTTGGAGCTGCTCAAATATCAACTTCTTCAACGTTAACTTAGTGGGGATATCCGCCAACTCTTTGTATCGATACTTCTCTAACAACTGATAAATGAATAAGAACTTCTGGACAGAAATGCATTTCGTTGGCTTAGCCTTAAGACAAAATGTTATGAGGTTGTATTGTGCCACGGTATTAGACCACCTCTTGTTATAACCCAAAGGGACTGACGAAGCGGCTCTACGCAAGAGAACCAAGAGACGCGCCACCATATTTTTGTGCTTATTCAGCCATAGCCTAGTCCTGTCTGAGGAAAGCAGCATGACTACAGCATAAGATTCTAGGACGATTGCTCCTACCAACAATATATATGTGATAATTACATCTACTCCACTGTATGCTTGCTTCTTTGAGAACAGGAAGGCTATGAATACAGAAAGTGTTATAGAAACAGTAATACCACGGAGAATGCAACCCAGACCAGAAGAAACCAGAACTGACTTTGTATAAAAGGCATCATACATGAATCCTAGCTCAAACTCAATAACTTCGAAAGCTTGATCGGAGTTTTTTTTTTCTAAGAAGGAGTGGCTGTGTACTATATCATGGAAGCTGAGGATGAGATCAGCACAAAGCAGTTTGAATGTTTCAAAGAACTCGTAGGCCTTGTCTAAAATTTCCACATTTTGGGTACCATCATCAACTGCGTACATATAAGGCACATCACCCCCTCTCCGTTGGTCGATGTTGGATCTTACAACTAGTGAGTTATCCCCTCTTAGTTCAACTGAGTTAACCCTGAAGCCCTGGGCTCTCTTTGAACAATATTCTTCCATGTATCTAGCATAATTGGGACCTGGGTCAGGATCATGAAGCATAGAATCTCTAAAATGCTCACTGCTTGCCGATCTTAGAACCCAAGTCCTCTCCCCAAACTTGATCATCCCAACTATGAACATTGGTATTGCCAAAAAGTTTAACTCTTTATTGGACCATGCTCTGAAAGAGACATATAAAGCTACAACCACCTGGACAAATAGCCCAAGCAAGTGCCTAAGCCACAACTCATTGTCTTCTAAAGAGTAAGCAGTGATAGTATCTGGGCCACCAAGATGTAAGAGAAGAAAGGGTGCCCAAAATGCGGTTATTACAACTTTCGGGTTTACAAAATCACCTTGAGATTCTTCTTGGTTGCTGGAGAGTATGCCAAGTGCAACTGTTGCAACTGAGTCAGCTGACAGGTAAGAGAGCCACAGAAGAATTCTGAGTTTGTTACTGGTTGAATGTTTTCTCCAGTTGCCAATCAGGATGAGGATAATTTGCAAGGCAAGGCTAGCTAGAACCATGCCCCGAAGCTCCCACTCGTTCCAGAGTTTTCTCAAACTTTCAGGGATAAATTGCATTGTCTTCCGCTGGTTTGTGAAGATCAAACTGCTAACAACTGGAAAAGCAAATTTTTATTTTTTCTTTTCTTTTCAAAACATCAGAACTTATCAAACAAAGCATTAATTTTAAGTTTGTATACTCATTGTAGGACAGTTAACTCTTCTTCAAGTGTAAAAAAGAAGTGATTAATTAACAAAAAGAAGGAGCAAATGAATTAGTAATCTTACCTGTGATTAACATGATTCCTCTCTTTTTAACGAATTGAAACGCAGCAGAAAAGCAGCAAGACTTGCGGTTTCTGCTTGTTTAGTTTTCAGGCCGTATATGGTGGTTCCAGAGAGAGGAAGGTCTCTCACAAAGTAAACCATCCAATACCAAGCAATGTGATTTCTCTATCTTACACTTGAAGTTAAGACTGGCAAATTTTCTATCTTGCACTTTTTTAAGTGAACCATCCAATACTAAGCAATGGACTTGGCATCAACAAGAATCAATCTCTTCTTGGGATTCTCTTCTGTCAATCAAGACCATATTTCAAGTTTATACAATAAACATACAATTCAAAATCACATCTCATTGACCAAGAAAACGCCAAAAAAGAAAATCACCACTCGACAATGTCCTAGGTTAGAGAGTTCCTCTTTTTTCCCTACAATTACAGTTTACACATCCAAGACAGAAATAAAATTGGGCAGTGTCGTGTTAAAGACAAAACCCCAGTTGTAGTTTGATGGCAGCTATTGTCCCCAACTAGTATAATAAGTGATGAATTCTTTAAGGCCAAATTACATTTGTAGAACCATCCCTTCCCAAACCACCCTTCACCTCACCCAACACAACCACTTATTGAAATGAAGCCCAATTACTCCATATGACTTGACTTACAGTTGGGAACTTAGGAATCTTGGACAATTAACATAAACAAACTATTCAATACTAAAATATGGACTTGGCATGAAAATTTATCAAGGAAACGACTCCAAATTCAATAAAATGTCAGAGTTCATGCATGTAAGACTAGATCAACCCTTAATTTTAATAATATTTTAATGTTCACCAGTTGCACCAATCAAGTTTCTAATTAAAAATTCATGTCTCTCTAATTAAGCATTTTCAATGGCAATTTGTGTGATATTCTATCTTTTGCTCCTCTCTCATCTGCCTGTTTATTTTGAATTTGCTTCGTCAACATTTCATAAACTCTACTCATGTCCTTTGACTGAAGATGTATGTAATCTGTGGAAGTAATGGCCTTGCAATTGCAATTTATATTTGTAGGACAATTTGTGACGACCAGACAAGGTGATGCTGCTGCATGCCCAGCCTGAAGAGGTATGTTTGTATAAGTAAACAGAAGCTTGATTTTTATGGACCGTTTTTTTTTTAAGAAGAGTTTTTCTCTTATTGACTCACACTTCAACACTATTAAGCAATTGAAATCTTATTTGCCAATACAAAAAACAAAAAACAAAGAAAACCAATTGAAATCTATGCATCGGTTTATCCGGATATGTATATATCCAAAATCCTGCATATGCCCACTGACTGATTTGCACTATTTTTTGTTTCAACCATTTTAAGTACTTCACCCTTTTGTGGTCATTGTTGCCTTCGTTTCCCTTGTTGCAGTTTTTTTTTGTCATCAGGTAAACAATTCTATCTGGTGCATTCATTATGGCAATGACTTATGAATTCATTTTATTTTAAGTCTCTTTTTTTTTTCAATTAAAGAGTAACTCCTTAGTTTGCTTTATTTTTTGAACATTTTAATGTTCTGCATTGATTCTACAAATTTTCGCCTAATTAATTCATCAGTATCAATTACACACATATATATATACATATCAGTATCTCAGTTAATATAATAATTCTCTCTTTTTGCAGGTAAGTTGATTCTAGTTATTTTCCATTTCTTCAGTGCGCAGACACATATGTTACTGTGATGATGAGCAACCCCAATAAACTAGGGGTAGTTGTGGTTGGTGCCCACAATCTTTATCCTGAAGATGATGAAGGTTCATGCAGTGCCTTTGTGGAGCTTAGCTTTGATGGTCTGAGGCTACGCACCACTGTTAAAGAAAAGGACCTAGATCCAGTTTGGAATGAAACCTTCTACTTCAACATTTCTGAATCGTCCCATCTCGACAAACTTCGACTGGATGCCTATGTCTACCACAGTGTCAAGCCTACCTACTTCAAGACGAAGTCGTTTCTTGGGAAGATTAGAATCCCTGTGGATTCACTTTCCACCTATTCTGATGATCCTGCCACAGACTTCCTTCTGGAAAAGCGTGGCATCTTCTCACATGTGAGAGGAGAGCTCACCCTCAAGGTTTATGTTACTGGTGGTCCTGAACCATCAAACATGTCCTCATCCACCCCAATTGCTGCTGTTGTTGCACCCCTCCCAAGTAGGGATCCAGGCCTAGCTCAAGAACAGTTGATGACTCAGGGAATTTCAAATCCTGCTACACAAAATGCGGAGGAAGCTGAGACAAGGAACACCTCTCATCGTCTTCCTAATCCAAGTCATCATGAGGACCAACCACGACAGCGTCCAGCTGCCCCGCCATTTTCAACCAAGGATGATACTTATGGCTTTGCACTTAAGGAGACAAGCCCCAACCTTGGAGGTGGACAGGTTGTCGCTGGCCGTTTTATTAACGGACCCAAGACTGCAAGCGCCTATGATCTAGATGAACGGATGGATATTCTTTATGTAAAGGTCGTTAATGCTCGTGATCTTCCTTCAAGTGGTGTAACAGGCAGTCTTAATCCATTCGTTGAGGTAAAAGCCGGAAACTATAAAGGGACTACAAAGCACTTTGAGAAGCAGAAAAATCCAGTATGGAACCAGGTTTTTGCCTTTTCAAAGGAGAGGATGCAAATGCGTGAATTGGAAGTTTTGATAAAGCACAAGGATCCGAGCCAAGCAGATTACATTGTGGGGTATGTAAATTTTCCCCTCCATGTGGTTCCAACAATAGTCCCCCCTGAAAGTCCTTTGGAGCCAAAATGGTACCCGCTTGAGGGGCAGAGAGTAAGAAGGAGCAAAGGTGAGGTTATGCTCGCAGTCTGGTATGGTACCCAAGCAGACACTGCTTTTTCCGAGGCATGGCATTCTGATGCAGTTCCCTTGAATAGCTCACTGATTGACTCCACAGTAATACGATCAAAGATCTATCATGCACCAAGGTTGTGGTACGTGCGAGTTAATATAATCGAAGCACAAGACCTGTTTGTAAGGGAGGATGACGATTTGCCAAATGCATTTGTCAAGTTAAAGATGGGAAACCAGGTTTTAAGAACAAAACCAGTTCAGGATCAGAACCTAAACCCCATTTGGAATGAAGAATTTTTATTTGTCATGACTGATGACCCCTTTCCAGATTTGGTCCTCTCAGTTGAACATCGTGTGGGTTCTAAAGACACCCTTATTGGGAGCTCCTTGATAAAGCTGCATGATGTACAAATGCGTGTCGATGACCGCAGCATTCCTAGCCGGTGGTTTAATCTGGAAAAGTCATCGGTTACTGATCATCCTGATGATGCAACCAATGAAGTTCTCCTTCAAGAGTCTAACTCCGCAGATGACACATTCTCAAGCCGCGTCCATCTCCGGATTTGTACAGAAGGAGGATACCATGTATTCGATGAGTCAGCTTATTACAGTAGTGATTTCCGCCCCACAGCGGAGCAGCTCAGGAGGCCGTCCATTGGGGTTTTAGAGCTCGGAATTCTGGGTGCTGTAGGGATTCAACCGATTAAAGCACGTGATGACAGGGGCACAGCAGATACATACTGTGTAGCGAAGTACGGTGATAAATGGGTCCGGACAAAAACCATTGTTGACAACCTGTCTCCAAAGTACAATGAACAGTACAACTGGGAGGTTTTTGATCCTGCTACAGTCCTTACCGTAGGGGTATTTGACAATAGCGAGCTGCTCAGTAAGGTTCATGGTGGTTCTAATAATAATAATAGTGGTAATTATTACAAACACCAGAGCATTGGGAGGGTTCGAATTCGCATCTCGACACTAGAAGTAGACCGGGTATACAGACACTCATATCCACTGGTGGCTCTGCACCCATCAGGTGTTAAGAAGAATGGGGAGTTGCATTTGGCATTTCGGTTTTCGTGTCCCTCTCTTCTAAACAGGCTTTACATATACTCACAACCTCTTCTGCCAAAGATGCACTATGTAAGCCCTATCAGTGTTGCGGAGCTTGACAGGTTACGTTTCCAAGCTGTCAACCTAGTTTCTTTATGGCTAGCTCGAGATGAGCTCCCGCTCAGGAAGGAAGTGGTGGAGTACATGTGTGATGTCAATTCGCAACTTTTTAGCGTGCGACGGAGCAAAGCAAATTTCTTCAGGGTTATGTCGACTTTATCAGGATTGTTTGCTCTATTCAAATGGTTTAGTGAAATTTGCATGTGGAAGAATCCTATAATGACGGTGCTTGTCCATGTTCTCTTCTTCATGCTTGTTCGGTTCCCGCAACTAATTTTCCCCACATTTTTTATTTACCTGTTTCTGACTGGGTTATGGAACTTCCGCTTCCGGCCTCTTTATCCTCCCCACATAAGCACAGGCTTGTCACACGCTGAGTTAGTGCACCCTGACGAGCTAGATGAGGAATTTGACCCGTTTCCAACCAATTGGGCTCCGGACATTGTGACAATGAGATATGATCGCTTGAGGACTTTTGCTGGTAGAATTCAGACTGTAGCTGGTGATGTTGCTGTCTATGGGGAGCGAATTCAGGCACTATTAAGCTGGCGAGATTCGCTAGCTACGGCTCTGTTTGTAACATTCTGCTTTGTAGCTGCCTTCGTTTTCTATTTCACGCCAATCCACGTGGTGGCAGCATTGGCATGGTTGCTTATAATGATGCCCCCAAGGTTTCGCCGTAGCTGGCCTTCAGGACCAATCAACTTCTTCCGCAGGCTGCCTGCTAGGGGTGATAGTCTGTTATAATTAGATTACTAATGTTTGTAGCTCTAAGTGCTGAACCGTGAATTTAGTTGAGCTTTTCGTATGCCTGCTTTTGGTTGATGAAGCTATATTTGGAAGGTCCTGAATCAAAACCCTTTTTTTTTCTGTTTCGTACTCGTTAATTGGTTAGATTTCAGGTTTTACTTTCAGAGTTTTGAGCTACCTTCATACCACCCTATACCCTAAATATGAAACCTTGGACAGATTGGAGGACGATAATCTATCTAATTCTTGTTTCGTCACTCTCCTGTTCATGACTTCTCTCATTTCAAATGAATAAGTATATCATAAATCCACAAAATAGTTTCGTCTCAACTATACTAGTATTAAGTTTCTATAAGCTATCTTATCCCAGTATGAACCTGTTGATCATCTCCAATTAATCTAAACAAGAAATCCACCTAAAATCTATTTGGACGTGTTTCTAGCAAGCACTACCTAAAATAGCAAGTGCTTCAAGCTTCTATTTG